GGCGCCGTTCGGACGCAGCCGTTGCAACGGCCTAGGTACTTGCCCGTGTCGGCCTGCACCGTGATGCGGTCGCCGTCGTTGAACGTGCACGCCGCCGACGCCGCGAGCTGGACCGTCTCCATGTTGAAGGACGGGAGCGCCGGCTCCGTGTGCGCGACGGTCGCCGTGTACGCGCCAAGGAACGCGAGGCTCGTACCGAGCGCAATGAGGGCCTTGCGCGTGCGGGACATGGGCTCGACCTCCTTGAGGAGCAGGTGCGTCTGCGGGCGTTCGAGATCAATGGCCATGCTGGATGCTTTCGAGGCGAATTGGAAAATGAAGTCGAGTGTGGCAGCCAGGTCGACGAAGTCGGGCGCACAGAATCGGCGCGATCACTTGACCATCCAATGATGTGCTAAGTAAGATACCATCGGCGTCGAATCTTGGTCCAGCACCTCTCGGTTAACTATCAGCGCACGTACTGTAAATCTGTTCGGAACGTAAAAGCCCTCGGCGGCGATGAGCACGACGCTGCAAGATTGCGCGCCTCCAGCACAGAGTCCTTGATCGCAGAGCAGCGCAGTGCGAGGTGTTGCGCGGTTCTCTATAGTACCGATGGACACCACTATGGACCTGTCTGTCCTTGGCGACACTTATCTTCGAGAGGGGCGTGCAGAGGATCGCTGGCACGCGCCTCCCAAGCTACTTCAACGTGCGCAACAGACATATGTTTCGGGCTGGACCAAGAAAACGTGGGTGGTTTGACCCATCGACAGCATATGATTCGTATGCGCACGCAGAGGGGCACACACCAGCACCCCCTCTCACAACACGGGCTGCCTTATTAAGTCGACCTTCCCCTCCCTCACCCATCCGTACCAGGTTGATAGCCAAATAACTAGGCCTGCGGCGGCTTGCTGCTCAGGGTCTTGGACGAGACTGAAGCAGGTGCAGTCGAGCGACTCTTGCTCCCTTGACGGCCGTCGTCCGTGTACTTGGTAGTTATAGGTCCAAGCGAAGACACGGCAATGGGAGTTGAAATGCTGATCATTTTCTGGGGGCCGTCCGGCCAAGTGAGCCAGCCCACGGCTGACGTGGCCCTTACCCCCCTCCCCCGATACGTATTACCTGCGGGTACCCCATATTTTGACAGAGCTCCTCTTGCAACTGATGCGTGGCCCCCTACGATCAAAGCGCAGGCAAAGCCTTTCCATGAACCAGATTGCTTTAGGTGGCTCGTCGATCACTCTATGAATCTCATTCTTGTGTTTGGTGTCGAATCTGATTTGAGCTTTAAATTTTCCAGCAACAACTCTGTCGTGTCGCCAGTCGTCTGTGTCGTGGCAAAGCACATGTGCCGCAGCTATCAGCGCTCATCCACGTTGAAGGCTTGGCCTAGCCCGATTATAAACAGATCCTACCTCGTCCGCCTGTCATGATAAAGAGTAGCCTCCAAATCAGCCGCACCCAGCGTCAAGGTGATCGCAACACCGGATGGTGGCGCGGGTGCAGATGCACGCACCGCTTTGCATACCGCACTAATCGGATCTCCTACCGTGATCCACGGTTCTTGCAGTATACGAATGGAGGTGGGACATTGAATGCACGAAATAATTTTGCCGCTTTCTGTCTTCGATACGGCGTGGAGATTGAAATGAAGCGTTCCTAGTCCATACGAGGCTTTGGATAATGCTGAGCAGTGGGAATGAGCCATCCTTGGCTACGGTCGCGACGCTTTCTTCTGCTTCCGACAAGTCAAACAATCATTACAGTCATACAAACCTAGTCGAACTGTCGACAAGGTTTTTCACTCTTCCCCCACGTCGTTAGGAACACGTGCGTTCAAACACTCTTGGATGATGCACATAGCATGATACATTGTCCAATATTGTCATGTCTACGATCCATGAAACGCTACGCGCTCGTACTTGGTTTCGAGCCGACGGCCAAATGTTGGTACCCGTACGCCTACGAGCGCAACGTGGTCGATCTGGTATCGAGGCGTGTGCATCGCACCTTGCGGATGTGATCCAGCAGCGTCAAGATCACAGTGCGGTCCCCGGCGTAAATCTCGCGGTCTTTGCGTAGCAGTAAGAGCGGCATGGTCTACGAAAAGGTGCCATTTTTCACAAGGAAACATTCGGCCGCGCCAAAATTACCTTTTTGAGTCGCAAAATATCGAGCACTTTTTTGATATTGTGGAGACACGGTGCTTTCTTGCCTTTGGGCTGACGGCACACGCCTTCGAGCACCCGAATGTGCTCGACCTTCTCGACGACCTGCACGAGCAAAAGGCCGTCGCGAAATGCGTCCAGCGTATGGCCCTATCCGATAGATACCCCGCATGTTTGAATCAAGGTTGCAACAAGACTGTGTGGTCGTACGTCGAGGCGCGGGAGTGGCTTGACTTGAAGGTGCTCGAGCCACGTTGCGAGAGGCTCAGTGTCGACGGCCGGCAGTGCAGCACTGGCTCGCGGCACCAGAGTCGGTCGTCGGACAAACTGGGGCGGCGCATGCGGCGACGGCAGTGTCGGTGGCCTCGCTGATTCCTCTTCGATGTCGATCCCGTCCGAGTGGTGGGCGCGGGGCAGTAGGTCGAGGTCCGTGTCGATGTCAATCTCTCGCCATTGGCGCGAGCTCGAGATGGCAGCTTGCGTGTGCACACACTCCAGGTGGTGCTGTTTTGTGCCACTTGTATCGTCGTCGTCCTCTTCTCGAATCGGCAGCAAGTGGTCGGTGGATACCGCGGCGCGCGGGAGGCATCGTTGCGGCGCCACCGCCTAATCCAAAATGCAGAAAACCATGTTTAGCGAAGGCACTTGAGTACCCCGGGGGTGTCGCCGAGGCCTTGCACATCTTCCAAGAGACCCAGCAGCACGGCGTCGTCGCCAGCGCGCACCTGCCTCGTGTGATGCCATGGAAGGAGGTAGTATCGTGTACCTTGTCTTCGCACCAGAGGAAGCGCTGGGGCATCGATGGCAGCAGCCGCAGAAGCTCGAGCGCCTCCGCAATGTGCGCACGCGCCACAGACGTAGGCACGGGGTCGAGCACGACGCGGCATGACTCGCTGCTCTGAGTAAGGGTCGACGCCATGGCCAGCAAAAGGGTTCCGTTGACCAGACACGGCTACCCATGGAGGAGTCATGATGAAAATGGCTTTTCTGGCAATGTTACCTTGAGCATATCAAACGTCCAATGGTGGTGGTGCGCTGTGGCATGGCGGAGGTCGCTCAGAAAGCCTTTCGTGCGCAGCCACTCGGCCACCAGGATCTTGCGCGTGGCTAGCTCATGGCTGGTGGTGTGTGGCGCTGTCGGCGTCACTGCCGAGGACTGCAGCGCTTGCGAAAGGTGCCACCAAAAGCCGTAGACAGCGTGGAAGTGCCCTTTCAGAAGCCCGTACCCGTGCTCGAGGGACCAGTATAGCGGAGGGAGCGAGATACGCTGCGCGTGCAAGCAGTGGAAGCCGGCTTGCAAGTTGGCTTTTGCTTGGTGCAGCGTCTTGGGCGTCCGGTGAAACGTGAGCTCTCGGTCCCGCGCCACCAAACGGTTGAGCACGTCGCTATTCCAACCCGACGTGATTCGGTATTCGTCGTCGTCGTTGGTAGTAGTAGTTATGTACCAGAGAAAGCTGCCGTTGCGGTACGGATCCGCGAGCAGTCCCGTGGCACTCTACACGCACATAGTGTCCGAAGTTGATTGACCGCACGTACCGACGACGCGTCGAGGCCGAGGTGCTGTAGCCAGTCGCGCACCGCGTGGACTTGCTGCGGCGACACGCTGGGAAAAACCACCTCGTTCCTGCTGCTGCCACTGGGCTCAACGGGCGGGGCGGGTGGCAGGACGGGGCGGTCCCGGCACGGCGGCGCGCCACGCTCCTTGCTGCGGCTGAGCTTGTACAAGACGTGGAGAAGCGTCCAAATGTGCTCGTCAAAGGCCGATGCGAGCGGGTCGTAAAGGTCCAGCGCGCATACGACCGGGTGCGTCACTTCTGGGATCTCGCGAAGCAGGTGGAGAGCGAGCTGAAGGTTGTGCCGCTTCTGGGCGAGTGTCACCGGCTGCAAGCAGCAGCCTTGCGGCACGAACGTACCGGGCTGAGTCGCCACGGGGCGCAGCTTGGCTTTGGCCGACGACGCCCCTAAACTACGTAGCCGCCGCATGAGACGCTGTCGTGACGACGACGACAAATGATAGTACGTACTGGTAGACAACTACAGCTGTGAGTTGACAGAGGATCACACCATCTTTGAAGACGCTGGCCGCTGTGTGCAGGAAGCTCGAGGCCGTCGCCTTCTCGAGAGAGGCTTCAAAGCCCAGTGGAATGCTGAGCGATCGGATCCACTTGCAGATCGCAAAGGCGGTCGCCCGCTTGCTCTCTGCCATGTGGGTTGTAAATTCAGCGAGGTCGCTGCCATCGCGAGCCGCCTTGGTCGTTCTGGCATCCAAGGGGTGCATGTCGTAAGGGACATCGGCCGCGTCAATCATGCGGCGGGGCCCACCTGCGTCATTTTTTGTTGCGTGTTGCTACATACTTCATGTCATGTTCCTACTCTTGTGCGTGGATCGAGAGCACGGTCGGGCGCTTGCCTCGGGCGCCCGCACTTTCTTGGAGACCGTGACGCACTGCTGCGTCGATGGGTTCCAGTCATGCGGTGATGGTTTGATCGGACGAGCTGCTGCTGGCGACGGTAGCTGTTTTTCGATTTGGCGCTGGAGCTGGGCGTCGAGTCGGTCACGGTGCTGCACCTGCCGCGCCACGAGGTCCCAACGCTTCTTGAGTGCGCGTAGTAGCGTCGCAATAGCAGCATGCGAGCCATCGAGGATGTCCAAGATCGTCTCAGGCTCCCGCAAGACGTAGCGTTGGCTCCACTCGGCCGCCGAGACCAGTTGAAGCACCGACGTGAGCACGATTTGCAGCTTTTGCGCAGGCGGTCCGAGGATCGCGCGCTGGCTGTCGCTCTCGTTGTGCTAGAATTGCATCGTGCGATCGCTCCTGTCACAAAGTGCGATCAAGAGCGTACGTGGACGAGGCCAAAGATGTCGGCAAAGACGTCGCCGGACCGAAGCTGGTCGAATGAGTCGACGAGGAGGCAGCTGGCTACCGGCAGCGAGTTGACCCAGTGCAAGAGTTGCTAGCATGCTCTCAGATCTGACGGCGCCAAGCGTGGTCACCTACCTTGTCTTCGTGGTCGCTCTGGCCACCACACGTCATGTTGCCGCCGCGTTACACTCGCGCCACAATCTTATCAAGTCGAAATATCAAGTCGACAGTTTCACATGTTGTTGCCGGCGCCGTCAGCGTCTTGAAGGAATCATACAAACGTTTACGAAGCTCAATGGTTGGCATCTAGCTAGTCGACAGCAGGCTAAATGGGCTTTATGTAGCAGTTAGCTTTGTGGCTTCTACCCCTCACGCCACTCCACATGGCGAGCGGTCCATCGGGTGATCATCTATGGCCGCACTCGAGCATTCGACACGGTGAAAAGGATGTTTTCAAGCCGAAGAGAGCGCAAAGCGGAGCTGGACATCAGGTCCCGCAACGACTTCGTCGCTGTAGAGGCGTCGACCGAGGGCCGTCTCGGCAGCATGGCACGCCGTATAGTACTGCGCCAGCGTCGCCGTGTACTCGGCGAGCGAGACGTCAATGAAAATGCAAAGGGCCTCGGGGAAGGGCGGGACGCCGACGATCGGTGACGTCAAGACAAACACATGCGTCTCCATCTTGCTTGCGCTTGAAATATCGAGCATAAAATTCGGACTCTCCGAGACCTTGGCCAAGCTACGCGGTGCCACGTCACTTGCTCGCTCGAAGAGCAATGTCCTACGCGTGCGTATGAGACCCGTCGTCGGCACCGCCGGGTCTGTACACGTCCGAGTGGAGCTGCAAGTGGCGGCGGTTATGGCGGTAGAGCTGGTATGTCAAAAGGTGGTGCATGACGGCGCGGACCTGCGGCGACCAGTGCAGAAAGAGGCTATAAAACAACTTGGGGTGCAAGAGGGTCGAGACGACCTGCTCCTTCCTCTCCGACGGCATGTGCTGGAGGTGTGCGTCGATCCAGAGCAGCGCCGGCAGCACCACCGAGTCGTCCTTGGATGCAAGCCACTGCAGCAACATCGGTATCATCGTGCCGAGCGGCACAAACGACGGGTACAAGTACAGGCTCTGGAGCGCCGTCGCCGGATGAGGCTCGCTCTGGTTGCTGCCTGCACTGTGGATGTAGGGTTGCGACGCCACGTCAATCCAGCGGGAGATGGCGTGGAGCGACCGCGTCAAGCCCGCGGGGTGCCACGAGGTATGTTGCTGCAACCCCACGACCACCGTGGGCAAAAGCACTTGCACCATACGTGGGTTGGCCATGGATCGGGACGCGCATTCCAACACTTGGTCGGCCAATGAAAACGTCAGTGGAAACATGGCCGCCCTCTATGCCATCCATAACGAGATAGGATATGGACAGTGCAAGCGTGTTTGGTGGTACCGTGAGCTCGCCAACGGACGGCACGTGATTGAGCCACACGATCGTATCATAGACGAGCAGCGCAAAGAGCTGCATGAGGTCGAGGTACCCCGGCACCATGCTCCAGTTGGGCGCATGCACGCCCGCCCGGTGCGTCATGGAGGCCACGAACGCAGTAACTGCCTGCACAAACAGCACAAACAAGCTGCCGTCCGAAGCGAGGACGAGGCGCCACGGACTGTCGTCGGGCAGTAGCGACGTCGCGTCGGTATCTTTGGCGAGCCAGCCCCAGTGAAAGAGATCGGGGCAGGCATCCATGAACGCCGTGTCGGCGCACTTGGCGAGGTGGGTGCGGCGTTGCGACTGAAGCGTCTCGTGCAGGTCGGTCGGTCGCAACGGCTTGTGTTGACAGTAGCGCCAGTTGCAAATGTCGACGAACGGCGCTTGTAGCAGCGGAAACACAAAGAACGCCCGCGTGGCTGCGAGCGCACAAAAGCGCTGGAGCTCGACCGAAAGCGTGTTGCGCAAGAGCAGCGACGAGGCGTGCACAAAGGTGTCGCCGACGAGCTTTCGGTAGAGGTGCACAAGTCGCCACGCGTCGCGGTCACCGTCCTTGCGCACGTCCATCGTGTTGAAGTCAAAGTCGAGGTGCAAGAGAAGAAACTCGTCGCGCTGGACGAGAGCCTCGAGCAAGCGATAGCACATGTACTTGTACTTGAGCACAGAGATCTTGTCCACGTGGCTGAGAAGAAGGACCCAGAGCGCGAGCATGCTCTCTTGCAGCGGCTTGGCGTCGCCGTCGGAGCGCGGGTTGGCCTCGAGAAGCGTCGCCATCTCGTCGAGCAGCGGCGCCTTCATAGAGAGATCGACCGTGAGCCCACCGTCCATGACGTCGCCGACGCGGTCGCGGAACGCGAGGCTCCATGCGGCCATCGGTGCAATAAGATTTCGGATCCGAAAAGATATGCCATTTTCGAACATCAATTTGGATTGGTTTAGAAAGGGTCGCATTTTGGCCAATCCAACGCGTTCGTAAACGTGGACACGATCAGAACAGCTTTCTAAACCCACGCCCATTAAGACGTCCAGGGAACGCTTGTACCGGTCTTTAAGCAGGTTTGGTGACGGGATGGCTCGCTGCAATCTGTATTTCCATGCTAAAGCATGTGAGCAGCATCAGTGCGCAAAAAAGAGCTACGATGTTCATCCTACGACGCTGACCAACGAGACCAAGTGCGGTGTTTTTAGCTGTAGTGGTCGATCTGCACTGCAACGGACAAGGACCAACACACGTTAATGACTTGAGCAAGCAAGGTCGGGCGATGATTGGTTAAAATCCGAGCATTTCAGCCAATCCACGTTCCGAGCGACAGGGCCGAAGAAGGAAAGATCAATTGATTTCGCCTACGAAGGAAGCCATGCCCATCGTACTGCGTCCAGGCCATGGACGCGAAGGAAGCTGATGCTGCGTAGGTCTATGCGCTCATCGCTCGCGGGAAGACCGTCCTCGCCGAGTACACGGCGTCGTCCGGCAACTTCCCGACCGTCACGCGCGTGCTCCTCGCCAAGATCCCACTCGACGACAGCAAGATGTCCTATGTCTACGACAAGTTGGCCGCCCATGCGCGCGTCGGCGAGGCTCATGGTAGATGCTAGGCATGTCTTCCACTACGTCGTCAAGGATGGCATCACGTACCTCTGCATGGCGGACAATGACTTTAAGCGGCGCGTCCCGTTCCAATTCCTCGACGACCTCAAGGTACGCTAGCCTCGCCGCTTTCGCTTCTACCCATGGCACAGGCGCGCTTCTTGACGACGTATGGGGATCGGGGCCGCACGGCGATTGCATTTGCCATGAACGCCGAGTTCCAGCACGTCATCCAGCGCCAAATGGTGCAATCTCTCCATCAATTTCCACCTTCGCTCATGCATCCATCCCCTTGCAGGACTACTTCAACGCGAATCCCGAGGTCGACACGGTCGTTCAGGTGCAGCAGACCCTTGACGACGTCAAGGACACAATGGTGGAGAACATTGGTGCGTCTTGCACGTACAGACAACGTGCATTGGATCCAAGGGTGCAATAGAAAAAGTACTGGGGCGTGGCGAAAAGTTTGAGCTCCTCGTCGACCGCACCGACCAGCTAAGCCAGCAGTCATTCGTCTTCAACCGCAAGTCACGCAAGCTGCGCAAGGTCATGTGGTGGCGCAGCATGAAGATGTGGGTCTGCCTCGGCTGCCTCGGCCTCGTACGCTCGACGCTCTCTTTTTACATAGTCTCATATGTGCATCTGTCGCTAGCTCGTCATCTACCTCGTCATCTCGATGGCCTGCGGCTTCGACTTTTCCAGCTGCAAGGCGACGCCGCCCAAGATCCAGGACGTGTAATCGGACGACTGCAGTTTTGAGATGTGTTTCGTACTCCATTGTTTGCACCATCAACCTGCTAGCCTATCGACGACCTTGTGATGCAGTCCATTTCGCACCCGCCATTCGATCGCTTGCCGCGGCCACCACGCCAGCCGCTTGCATGACTGGTTGGCAACCCGGCGTATCGTCTAGACGCTCATCGAATCCATGAAGGAGGTGGTGGATGTGCTTGGCCTTTGGCAAGGGACCAAATTGCTTTCCCGTATCTCTGCGTCCGAGCAAGCATCACGCCTATCGAGCTCTCCGTCGACTTGTGACTCCTGAATGCACAACTGAACCACCGCCACGACAGCGACGCGGGTTCAATTCCGACACCAGCAACCCCGAGCCTTCACAAAGATAAGTGTTGTTTTCTAATCCGGTCGCAACTTTAAAAAAACTCTACGGCGCAAAGTCAAGGATCGTGTCAAAGTGGCGGGCGCCGAGCCCTCGAATGGCTTCGTTCCAGTGCGACGTCGAGACGCTATTGAAGCTGCTCGAGAGCGCTGCGTAAATCTCCGAGTGCAGTTGAACGTAGTTGAGCATGACAAATTGGCAGCCCGTGAACGCGAGCGCCTCCTTCGCGACTGCAATGTGCGGCTCCTGCATGCATTGGCCCAGCGTTTGGAAGAGCCGCAGGACGCAGGCGCCGTCAAAGCGGGGCGCCGAGAGCAGAATACGGGCCGCCGCGCGGATCGCGAGCGCTTGGCGGCCCGGCTGGCGGCGCGGCCAGGCGTGCAAGAGTCGGCGAAGCAGCTCGGCCGCCATCGACGGTACATACGCGACGAACTGACCGCCCGCCGTCACGAGCTCGTCTTCGTCGGACCCGGCAGCGTCGAGGTAGTGGCAGCGCATGAGGTGCGTCCACGCCCGCGCGTAGTTTTGGAGGATCCCATCTGCCTCGCCGCCCATCCCAATGTGTTCAATCGCGTACCTGGCCAGGAAATCAGATCTACATCCTCGAAGGATATCTTCGTACCGCAGAAACTCGGTCCAGCTGTGGCCATGGTCAAAGTTCTTGTTCTTGGCGCTGCGCGTGGCGGCAGACATGTTGGTCATGCACGTCTCGGCCGTCACAAGCGCGACTTCCTTGCACTGCCGCTGGGCCTCAGCGTGGACAGCTTCGAGGTACTCGAGACGCAGGAACGTGGCGTCGGCCAACGCGCGGGAAATGTGGTCGCGTCGGTGCGGCAAGTGCTTGTGGATCGCCCGCAGAATGTGCAGCCGCGCGCTCGAGGTGCGGTAATCTTCAAACCGCATTTCCGTGATGAGCTATCGTAGTATGCCATGTGAGGCGGGACGTTGAGAGAGAGAGGATTGATGTAGGTACGCGGTGGATAAAGACGGGCGTGATGTACTGGTCCATGGTCGTCTCGGCGTTCGCGTCGCTCAGGTTCAAGCTCACGCCGTTCGAGAAGAGGATCGACGTGAGCCCGTTCTTGACAAAGTGCTCGTTGGGCTCCTCCGACTCGCTGCCCGAGTCGAGCGACAGCTTGTTAGCAAAGAGCGCTTCGAACACGGTATCCACGACGGCTTCGCGCGTGACGCTATAAACCCATTGACGGCGAAGTCGCACATCGGAGAACGTCGTACCGCTTCGGAATGCGCTTCTGCGGCAGCGAAAAGGCGAGGCGGTCCGTGAACGCGCTCGCCTTGGCCGCCGGCTTGGCAGGGTACGCTTCATCGTCCTCTTCGGACGAGCTGCCACCCGTGCTGTCGCTGCGTGGCCGGCGCAGGATCTGTAGTTTCGGCTTGGTCTTCTTCTTCTTGACATTCGTCGTCACAGTCGTCTTGACAGCCACCTTCGTAGCGACCTGCTTGGCGGTTGGCGAAGGCCCCACGCTCGGCGCTGTCGCGCTGTTCTTGGTCTTTTTGTGGCGATGGCCAATGACCGGGCGCGATCCATCCTTGAGCAGATGCGAGCGGCGCGTGCTGGATGGCGACTCTTCTGTGGACGGCAGGTACCCCGCGCCAGTCGGCGTCACGGCATCGGCCTGCTTGGTCGGCCGCCGCCGGCGCTCGTGGCTCTTGGGCGGCGGCGCCGGCGAAAAGGTAAAGACGGACGCATTTGGATTGAGCGTCGTCGGCGGCTTCTTCGCATCGGTGGGCGCCGACTTGGGCGGCAACTTGGGCGCGTCCTGCGCTGTCGCGACCTCGAGCGTCGGGCGCCGGGCGCGCGGCTTGGACCGGGGAGGGCCGTCCATGTGTGCTGGCTCGAGTAAAGACCTCTGCAAGCGACCACCGTTTCCGGACGCCGCCCACGATTGGTTGAAAAGTGGAACGACCGTCATTTTCTTGCCGATTGCGACCATATGATTGGCGGACCGAGGTTCGCAGCCTCCCATTGGTCAAATCCAGGCATGGCGATCATCCGCCGAAATTCCAGAACGCGACACGTCTGAAGCCGCGAGTTGCATAGGCCGGCGACCAGCGAGGCAGCGCGCCCGCCATGACACGAGCCATCGGCAGCAACGTGCTCGGCCTCACCCGAGGGCAGCATGGGCAAGAGCAACCCAAGGCCTGCACGCACGTATGCATCGCATGCGCCGTCTGATCATTGCTGCTGCTGCTGGCATGATACCCGTCCTTGCGGTGCTCTGCCAAGGCATCAATGAGCGTGGCTGGAGCAGGCTAGACGTCATCGACGTGGTTGCTGGGCGAGACGCCACAGGACTTGGCATGTCTAAGCAGTAGTCGTACATTGTAGGCAGCACGCCATGGAGCGACGAAGCCGTCTGCACCTGAAGCTCGCGTGCAAAGAGCTCGCGGTGTCGTTCATGGAGGCGCTTCTCGTGTCGAGATGCGCGATGCCAAATGCATTGCGTGTACCAGTGCGCGCGTGCCACGTTCGCATTATCCGGATAATAATGGGGCAAGCACCGGAAACGGGAATAGTCGAAGAACCATGAACACGAACGTGAAGCGGCTGCGGAAGGAACTCGCGGAGCTGCGCAAGCACCCGGAGGCCGACATGGTGCTCTTCCCGCTCGAGGAGTCGATCGTCGAGTGGAAGGCCTTCATCAAGGGCCCGGCGGATACGCCATTCGAGGGCCGCGTCTTCGAGCTCGCGATCGCGACGACGCCCATGTATCCCATGGAGCCGCCCAAGATGAAGTTTGTCACCAAGATTTTCCACCCGAACGTGCACTTCCAGGACGGTAGCATCTGCCTCGACATCCTCAAGCGCGAGTGGTCGCCGGCCTGGACGCTGCGCGCAGCCTGTCTTGCTGTCACGTCGCTCCTCTCGGACCCGGCGGCCGACTCGCCGCTCAACTGCGACGCGGGCAACATGATCCGCGCCGGCGACCTCATGGCCTATAACGCAATGGCCGCCATGTACACGACCGAGTTTGGCCTGCCCGCGCTGCCGGCGTCGCCGCTCTCGTAGCAGAAAGAAGTCGCCCATGACAAATACGAGCTTAATTTTCTTACAACTGAACTACTTGGGCACATTCACAGAAGGCGGTGGCGTCTTGGGCTTGGAAGCTTGCGGCGGCGGCGTCTTTCCCGACGGACCTGGCGAGGCGGACGCGGGCGGCGTCTTGGGCGTCCGCTTCACGGGTGGCTTCGCTCGCTTGGACGCCGCGTTGGCACCCATCTCTGACTGCGACAACGTCCGCTTCAACGACTTGCCGCCACTGTCCTTGGGCGACGTGCTCGGGCTCTTCTTGGCCGACGACGACCCGCTGAGGAGACCGCTAAAGTCCGTCGTTGTGTCGAGACCGTCGTGCAGATCCCCGTCGCCGTCCATGAGATCCATCCCAAAGAGGTCTGGCGAGTCGGCCGTCAGGTCGTTGAGGCCGCTATCCACCGAGAGGCGTCCCGATGCGTTCGACGGTCGCTGGCCGCCGGGGGCCGGTCGTGCGTTCGGGTTGTTGCTCGGCGGGCCGTTCGGCGGCCGGTTCTGCTGTTGCTGGCCCGGGAACGAGTTTTGCGGGAACGACTGGGACCGCTGCAGCTGCTGCTGCTGTTGGTGCTGCTGCTGCTGCTGGTGCTGCTGGTGCTGTTGTTGCTGGTGCTGCTGGTGCTGCTGCTGTTGTTGTTGTTGTTGTTGTGTGTAATTGGGGCGGTTGCCTTGGTTGTTGAAGCCCATGCCCGCGTTGTTGTTGTTGTTGTTCGGGTTGTTGTTGCCTTGCTGCTGCTGCTGCTGCGGGTTGTTGGGGTTGCCTTGGTTGGCCTGCGACGGGCCGCCGTTGGGCATCTGCGGGCTCCGGCCGTTCATATTGCCGGGGTGCTGCATCTGGCCCGCGTGCTGCTGCTGCTGCATGCGCTGGTGCATTTGCATCTGCTGCTGCATTTGCATCTGCTGCTGCGGGTTGCGCGGCGCGTTCGGGTTGGGCGGCGTCGACGTCGGCGGCGAGTGGTTGGGCGGGCCGTTCGTCATGTTGCCCATCGAGAGGCTACGCTGCGGCGGCATGCCCGGCGCGTTCATGAGCGCAGCCGGGTTGCTCGGACTGGTCGACTGTGACGCGTTCATACCCGACTTGGCCGCGCGCGCACCCATCGTGACAGCGAGCTGCTGGAGCCGCTGCTTGAGCGTCGCAAAGTTGCCGTACACCTCGCGCCCCGACGCCGTGCGGTACAGCGAGTCTTCGAGCCGACGGGCCATGTCGGGCAGACGCCGAATCCACTCGGCGGGCGCGTCCGGCTTGCGCTGCTGCAGCAAACTCACGCTACAATAAGCCATGAGCAATTTGACAGCCTATGCCAGCGACGTACATCTTGGCAATCATCTTGCGGCGAAGCGGCACGTCGTTCTCCGACTGCCATACGGTCGCCTTCCCAGGCGTCGCCACCGCCATTTGGCCGGGCGGCGGCTGCTGAGGACGGCCCACGACCGCCGGCGACGGCATCGATGGTGGCACGACATTGGGCGTCGACGACGAAGGCGGCTGCGACGGCGACGGACGCGTCTCCATCATCATGCCACCGGGCGGCGGCGAGCCCTGCGGTGGCCGGTACGACGGCATACCACCCGGCGGCATGCCGGGGTTCATGCCACCCGGATGGAAGTTCCCGGGCGGCGCGCCATGCGGCATCCGGCCCGAGTTGGCGAGGCACTGGTGCTGCGTCACGCGGAGCACATCTTGCGGCGGCGGGATCAAGTCGGGCTGAGCTGCAAGCACGCTCTTGAGCTTTGCGAGTTCTTGGTCGTAGTCCGTGGGGTAGCTAATCGGCATACCGCCACGGCCCATCGTCGGCGCGGCCGGCGGCGGGTTCATGAGGCCACTGTTTGTGCGCTGGAGCGTGTGGTGCTGCGCGTACGGCGGTCGCGGCTGGCCCGGGCCGGCGTTGTACCCGCCATACATGGACGACTGCGGCGGCCCGCCCGCGTTCGGAGGCATCATCATGCCGTTGCTGCTGTAGCGCGGGTTCATGTAGTTGTTCATGTTCGGGTGGCCTTGGTTGTGCGGCGGTTGGTTGCCGCCGTGCATGCCGGGGATGCCGGGTCGATTGCCGCCGGCCGGCTGGTCCGTCATGAGCAGCGTCGAGAGGAGCGACTCCGTGTTGTTGCTTTCTGATAATCGGTTGGGCGGCGGCTTGTTGGCTTGCTGCGGACCGCGGTTCATGGTCGGGTCGTCCTTCCGTGTGTTGTTCTGCATACTATGAGGCGCGTTGGGACCGTGGCCACCGCCGTTGTTGTTGTTGTTGAGGCCGCCCATCGGCGGCTTGTCCATGCCGTGCGACGGCTTGTTCTTGTCGTCGTCGGGCTTCTTGTTGGGCAGGTCGTTGTCAAAGAAGCTGCCAATGTCGTCGCTCTCGTTGAACGCATCGTTGTCGCGGCCGCGGAGGTCGCCGGGCGGGCCCGAGCCGGACGCTCTATTGTTCATGCCGAACGGCATCGATCCATTGAGGCTCGGCATACCGGTCGGCGTGCCGACGCTAAAGGGCATGCCCGACGGCGAGTCCAGGCCCGTGCCGCCCATGGTGGGCATGCCATTGCCGCCCAGCGGGAACTCGTCGAAGCCGCCCAAGAGGTCGCTTTCAAAGTCCATGCCATTGAACGAGTCCATCTTCGTCGTCGGTCGTACGTAGTCTATCACCGGGTCGTCGGAGCTTCGGGATGGACTTATGTGTTACGACACTCCTCTCTCCCGCTGCTTTGCAGTTTAGAGGCTGTGGAGTTAAATATAAAATAAAACACTTGCATGCCGCTTTGGTGCGAGGAATCAAGTCTCGCAGGTTTGCCGTCCCGACCACGTGTTCCGACGCGGCCTTGCACGGCCCGCGACGAACGCGCTCCTCGACGCGCCAGCGCTCCGAGAGAGCGTTCGCATCGCGCAGCCCGAGGTGGTGGGTCGCCGCCGCCACCAGCTCTCGGTCCCCTTGACGAGACGTCGCTGCCGCCCGGCGCGTGGCTACTTGCGCGGCCCTGGTCCCGTCATGGGATGTGCGAGGGTATCCAGTCTTGCAGGTTTCTCGGCGCCACAAATGCAACGTATACAAAGCGCAAGTCATAAAATACATCCGTGGCCGGGAGGCGGCAATTTGAAATGAACCCGAGCCCTTGTCCTGACTCGACAACTTTTTTTAAACGCAGGTTCAAGTTTTCCACCCCACGTATACAAACAGCAAGGTCGATGGGGCGTGTTTTTTGCATTGCTCACAGGTTTTTTATTCCGCGCGACAGATGGGTGGCTACTCGGATTTTAATCGACCTCGCCGCGCATTCAATACAAATGCCAAGCTATTAAATAAACGGCCACGTCGAGAACGAAACCCCTAATCCACTAGAAATTCGAATCGTCGAGAGTTTTGGCCAATCGCCAGCGCGCGCCTTGGCGCCGCCCATGCGAGGGAAAAAGGCAGCGTCCGGATACCGTGCCACGTCGCCGGACGCGCCGCCACGAGATGGCCACGGGCGCTTGGTAAGCTTGTCAGCATGGACCCTCGCCGCGTGGGCAGGCTCGAATCAGGCTGCTTCTGAGAAGCCACTTCGCATGCAATCTGCACTTGGCTCCAGTCTCCTCAGCCTCCTCAGATGCGACCTGCAGCCTCGCAGAACGAGGTTCAGTGGCCACGCCCTGGACTCCTGGACTGCAACCATCCTCAACGTCGCCTCCGAGAGGCGCGGAGAGGTGGACGTGATGGCGTGAGTCGTCGTCACGAGGATGGGCAGCGCACGATCTTGCTATCCAGTTGAACCAGACAGGACCAGACCGACGAGGGTGTCGACGACGGTATCTTTGGGTCGTGGGTCGTATAGCGTCGTGCATGCGCCCACTATGTCCAGAGCTATTGGAGTCGCAAGTTGGTCCTGGATATATCCATGCGCCGAGCGTCAAGGGTGCGGGACCGCGTCAATGACCTCTCGCTTGGCGCTCGAGTGGTGCCATCAGCTGTGCCATCGGCGCGCGTGCGACAGACGCCCTTTGAATAAAACCCGCACGAGCCACTCTTCGCGCGCGTGTCTCGGTCGTTGCCGTGCGTTGACTGAGTGCCACGGTGCTTGCAAGGGTACCTAAATTGCGTACCCTGGCCTCCGCCAGCGTGGCCCGCGCCAGCACATCCGGATATCACGGGGCAGCGTATCCGGAGATCGGCCAGCGGTGGCCAAGAGCAGCGCGATGGCGATCACGTTCCGCAATGTCTACCACGAGACGGCCGACATGCGACGGTCCTCGGCGAAGCGCAAGGTAGTAGTAGTACATACTACATGGCACCCAAGACGCCTCCTCACCTGTGCATAGAAGTCGCGCGGAGCCAAGGCGCGGCGAAAGCGCCAGCGCGTCGACGAGACGGCGGAGCCTGTCTGCGCCGAGGACGCAGCCCGCGCACAAGAGGCCATCGAGCAGCAAGCGCAACTTGAGAGCGAGATGGCCGATGCAGGCCTTGCAGGCATGTTTCCGCTGAGCTTTGGCTCGTCCAAAAGTACGTATTTCGATCCCGACGGTATCCAACGGCTATGCTGACAGCTCTGGTTGTGGTAGAAATCGAAGCGCGCCAACTCAAAGCCGCAGTCCACGTCAAGTTTGACGACCTCGGGAACGAGACAGCCGTCGAGCACAAGCCAACGGTCCTTGAGAAACGTCCGCGCGACGAAGACGATGAGGACGACGACGACGATGACAACAACGCCGCTGCCGACAACAACGACGTTGATGGCGACGGCCAAGCCGCTGCGATGGCGCCGACATCAACGGGCATGGCAGCAGACATGGACCCGAGCCTCGAAAAGTACTGGGCACAACGCTACGCGCTCTTTACAAAGTTCGACGAGGGCATCCGCCTCGACCACGAGGGCTGGTTCTCGGTACCTAGATGCTCTCTTGCTACCTGTTGCAGAAGTAAGACAGCTCCATAGGTGACGCCCGAGGTCATCTCGGAGCACCATGCGATGCGTCTGGCCTGCGACGTTGTTGTCGACGCGTTCACGGGTTGTGGCGGCAACGCGATCCAGCTCGCCAAGACGTGCCGCCACGTCATCGCCATCGACATGGATCCGGCCAAAATTGCCATCGCCCGCCACAACGCCGGCATCTACGGCGTTGCCGATCGCATCGAGTGGCTCATCGGTGACGCGTTCGCCTTGCTGCCGACGCTCCGCGCGGACGCCGTCTTTCTCTCGCCGCCGTGGGGCGGTATTATGTGCAGTGTGTCAACTCAGAGTATCAAGCTCTCAACATGTAGGGCCCGAGTACTTGCACGCCAAGCATTTTGCGCTCGATACGATGCGCATGGGCGACCGCAACGGCATCGACCTCTTCCATCTCGCCGAAACCGTGTCGCCCAACATTGCGTACTTCTTACCGCGCAACACGTGCAAGAAGCAGGCGCGGCTCTTGTCGCCGGACGCGGTCTGCGAATTCGAGCACAACTTTCTCAACAAGAAACTCAAAACGGTCACCTTGTACTTTGGCGACCTCGCGACAAGGCCGACGACGACAAGGATGACGAGTCCGAATTTGTACGATTATAGACGATTATAGACTGCCTTGGCACGGCTGGTTTTGTGTTTTGGGACTCCGGAGCCACGTGAGAAGAGTGACGAGTAGCAAAGCTCCGTCGTACTTGGGCATGAGATGGCATCGTCGGCCCCGCATGAGCAGCAGAGCAAGGCCACGACGTTGCTCCTAGGCGACGATATATGACCGTGGTTCTTACTCTCTGCGTTGTTAAGAAAAAGGCTCCTATCGAGGCTTTTATCGGTCGCTCGCGCACAGCAGAGCACAATAAGAACTATGCTACGTGGCTGGTACCTCTGGCGTCAGGCTCAAAACGCCAAAAAATGGTCAGATGGTACGAGTACCAGAGCCTAAACCGAAGTTTAAAGTACGCCGAAGCGTAATCTCGTCCTTGTCGAGGGAGATGCTAACCGTCTCTCGGTTCAACGAACACACTTATGTTGAAAAAATTACGGTACCGGTGACGAAACTTGGCCGTCGCTTCGATCCTCGCTCGGGATATTTTTTTTGTATCTTGAAGGGACGCGCATGGCCGACGACGAGACCGACCTGCTCTTCAACGTCGCCCTTGAAAAGGGCGAGAAGGGCTTTGGCATCTACTTTTTCGGCAACGCGGCCGGTCGTGTCATTGTTGAGGGCTTTGTCCCGACGCCAGACGGCGGCAGCGGCCCCGCCGAGCTCCTCGGCTGCATCGAGGCCAACGATGTGCTCGAGCGCATCAACGGCGAAGACATCACGACACTGCAAATGGCTGCCGTCGTTGACCGCCTTCGCAATGCGCCGCTCGGTCTCAACGGCCTCACCTTCCGGCGGCGTGTGGCCGACACGAACGCGGCCGCTGGCGACGAGGAGAGCGCGCCGAGCTCGCGGCCGCAAAGGCTACTCGGCGCCCTCAAGGGTGTCTTGCTTGAGAAAGCGCCCGGACCCAAGTCGCCGCAATGGTGGACTGAGTTCCACCGGCTCAAGGCCGCCAACGTCCTTCGCTGGGAGGCCGCGAGCGTCACCGAGTCGGATTTTATTGAAGCCTTGTACGCGGGTAGCGACGACCAGCAAAAGTCCTATTTGCGCCAAGAGTACCCGACGCTACTGTCGCACCACCAAGACCGCTTTACGGTAAGCAACAGCCGATGCTCCTTCGAAACGACGCTATGCACAACGTAGGTTTGGCCGCGACCGGCGCAGGTCTGTCCTGTGACGCCGTACTCCGGGCGCTGTGCGGCGACCAGCATCGCACCGTCGCCGTGTCTCGCGACCTTGGTCGACACGCTGCGCACGTCGCTGGGCTGGACGCGCCACGAGACGTCGGCGTTTCTCGTGTCGCTTCAAGCCACCGCCCACGTGCACTCGGCGGTCGACTACGTGTGTGCCCGCCGCGAAGCGCTCACGCTGCCTCTCTCGGTGGCCTACCCGCGTATTACCCGCGCGGTCTGGAGCACACTGGACGAGGCGGCGCTGCAGCTCCTCGCCCCCGATGACGCGAGCTACATTGCCTCGCTGCCATCGTACGTATGCTCTTGATAGTATACTTTCAAGAAACTATCAAGTTGACACATTAAGTGTCCCACGCCTTTTCGTGCTCGGTTTGCTCGGCAAACCACCGACGCAGCTCGGTGTGGCCATAGCGCGCATGGGCTGCGTCCTCGTCGAGCGTAAAAAAGTCGAGCGACGCCAAGCACGCGACAATGTGCTGGCCAAAGCCACTGGATGCTTCGTCTACAAGCGCATGAGATCGCAATGTAAGTGCGCGCAATCGAGAGAGGGGCACCTCGCTTGGACATATGCAAGAGCAGACGAAGCACCGTTTCTTTGGCGCGCTCGGTCGCGGGCGTGTGTCCCTCGATGGCATCGAGCATCGTCTGCAGTTGGGCAATGGACATACTCGCACCTGGACTGTGTCAGCGACATACTAGCTGTGTACGACGGAGAGCGTACTCTGCATGTTGAGCCAGCATTGCAGCAGTAGGTCGTCGAGCGACGGGCACTGCCGCTGGAAGAGGTCACGGGCCATTGATGGAAGCGTGTCACGACTGAGGAGCTCGGTCGCGTAAAATTCTAGCCACACGATATTTGTTTGGGCCCATGCAGCGAAGACGGTAGAGGCGTACCCCACATGGAGAGGTTCTTGAGGAGGCGGGCGCAGGCGAGCTTCGTGGCCGCGTCGTCGTCCGTGTACCAGCCGAGGTAGATGTCGAGGTTGCTCGGCTCTCCGATCACGTGGTGGTTGGTGTCTAGTACTATGCCATTGACTTGCATGCATCTACCAGCGCCATGTACCATTGACGACGAGGTTGGCGAGCGCAGTGAAGATCGCCGTTGCGCAGGTTCGCGTACAGTCCATGTCGGCGAGCCGCTCGGTGAGGGCCGCGATGCCACCATGCGCCGCGATCTGGTGCTGCAGTGGCGCTACAGTGCAAGCGTGCAGTGAGCTACGAATGGGAGACGATGAAGCGCACTGAAGGCGGCAAGGTTGCCGAGGCGCACGACCGCGGCTTCGACGAGGAGCGAGCCTTCGCACTGATGCAGGATGCGGACAAGCTTCGGGATCGTCTTGGCCTCCATGTCCAGAAGCGTCTCATCTCGAACGACCTCGTCATCGTCGGCCGCGCTCTCTCGGCTGCATGGACGAGCTTCGTCTCGGCCCGTCGCGAGCCACAGGTAGGCGCAGGACGCTGCGGCCAATGCTACGACCAACGTAGCTGCGTCGCGAGATCCCATGCACACTATTTCTATCCAAACAAACCACTGCACCGTCTTTTTCAATCGTACAGTATTTACGTGGCGTGACCCGCGCCAGCTCACGACGCTCAAGAACGGTACGTTCTAGCACCGCCAGGGTCGTTCCTTGTACGCCTCTACTACAAACGAAAGCATAGTGAGCGCTTCAAAGCGCAACGGATGTGCGTGCGTCGGACGCGGACGCGATCTCGGGTGCACACGAAATAGTATAATATATATCATATAGTGTGACAAAGACGGTATCTTGAAGAGGCGTCAGTTGAAAAATCATGCCATCGAACGACGTCCAGCTGCCGCGCATCTGCTTCGACGACGAGTACCGCGTCCGCGTGCTCGAATTGGAGAAGTTTGTGCACACGCAGGAGCTCGAGACCGAATGCAACCAGTTCGTCTCCAGTGCGTTCGCTCCATATGCCGAGCCTTGCCTCACATTTTCGTAGAAATGGAGGACTTCCACAGCACCGTCAAGGGCGTCCTCGAGATCATGGAGGCGCAGGCCAAGCGCATTGAGCTCGAGAAGCTCAAGGTACGCCAAAGGCACCAACAAGCAGGCTGGATACGCGTGGCAACGTAGGCCATTGGCCAGCGCAACCGCGTCGACAACGAGATTGAGAACCGCAACCGGCAAAAGCTCATGCTCGAGGTTCTCATCAAGGAAAAGCAAACCGAGCTCGAGCGCTTCTGCCAGCAGTACATTTCGCTCACCAAGATTGAAGACGAGCAGCAGCAGTTGATCGAGAAGCTCAGCAACAACGAAGCCTAGTCCGCATGGAGACAGCGCCAGAAACAAACATAAAATGAAGCATGTACTAAGAAACAATACCATTAGATTAGATAAGAAATAGAGCCGAGCATCCTCAGCGCACGAGCATGGGACGCGGTGCGTACGCATACAAGACGCGGAGAAAGCTATCGGCGGCAAACGCCGACGTCACGACGACGCGGAGACTTGGGCTCAAGTCCGCGCCGAGGAAGAGTGCATACTCGTCGGCCTTGTCGTAGAGCAGCATGCCTGCCCAGAGCGTCGCGAGGAAGAAGTAGACGACGTCGACGCGCCGGCCACGCAAGTCGACCACGTCGCGCGACCGCCCTTGATCGCCCACGACGCAGGCGACGGTTACCGCCACGTAGTCGGCGCTGGCGACGGACCAGCCCGACGCGCGCACGTGCCGAAAGACAGCCATGTACACGTGCAGCCACGTCACGCAAAAGAAACCGTACACGTCCCAATGCGTGAGGACGACCGCGACGATGGCTGTGGTCGCGGTTGAGACGAGCGTGCTGAGGCCAAGCACGCTGCACGTCGCTTTCGCCATGACGCAGAGCCAGCCAAAGAGCACGGCGCGGACGACGTCGGTGCTGAAGCGCACGAGCAGGCCCGCAGCGCCGAGCGCGGCCAGGTTGCCGACGAGGAGGCTCATGAACGTCATCTCGGATGGGTCCATGGCGCTGCCAGCTGTGAGGTTCATCGCAGCGATGTGGTCGTGGACCTCGTTCAAGTACACGTGGAGGAGCGTGAGGCCGGCGTCGGGCGGAAATCGCGACATTGTGCGAGACAGGAAAAGCAAAAGTGGCATTTGGTGCCGAATTTAAAACGGGTCTGTTGCGCGTTGTTCGTTTGCTTTGCATGATTGCCGATCCAGCGCCACGAGCGAGGTCCATAGCCCATGCCCTCACAGATACAGACAGCAGTATATCTTGGGCCACCGATCGCGACCAAGGACGCTTCATGCACCTTGACGGAGACGCTTGGGACGACGGGGTGGAACCGGACTTTCAATGGCGGAAACGTCAACCAGAGTGACCATCTTGAGTTCCCGCGGCCGACAGGCCTGGTCTGCAGAGCCACTGCAGCTCTTCTTACAGCAGAGTAGAGCATCGCACGCGACGGAAGCGCTGCAAATAACGCCAACCGATGCCACAGTATACGCGCCCGCACATGGACCGTCCCATCTGCCGAATATAGATAAAATAGTGTGCCACAATGTGCAAGATGCCACATTGACTGGAAATACTGTAATGACGACGCTTCAAGATCCTTTCCATTTCACAACGCGGCGACGATGGCCAAGAGCCCGTTCACGGGTCGCGACAGCTACGAGCGCCTCGAGCAGCTCCAGGCGCTGTGCAGTAGCGCGGACGTTGACGCGCTCTTGCTCGTCGGTGGCGCCGACAGCCGCTTCTCACGCGGGTGCTCGGCGGCGCTTCAGTACCTCTTCCTCGGCAAGTCGGGCCAGGAGCTGCTGGGCGAGCAAGTGATTCCGCAGGCCTTCGAGACGCTCGAAGACGTCGTCTTGGTCGTGACGCGCCACTCAGCCGACATCTTTTACCCGCTTGACAGCGACAGCGCCACGTTCCTCTTGCCGCTCATCGCGTGCTGGCGCAACCTCACCGAGCACGTCGCGCCCGACGACGTGCCGCAAGACGACCGCGAGCTCATCAAGATCCGGTCCTTCCGCGATATGGTCGCACCGTACAAGCGGCTCGGCGTGCCCATGGGGTCGTTCGACAGCATGGCGATCGAGCGCTGGCCGCTCGTCCAAGCGTTCGGCTTGGAGAACGACGGGATCGCATCGGCCACGGCGGTCGGGTTCTTCACGATGCAACACGTCGCCGTCGACATCGAGACGGCGCTTTTTGCGCGCATGCTACTACTCGACAACTACTACGCTCGACGCCTCGTGCTCGAGGCGACGCCAGCCCTGCGCCTCCACTACGAGAGCGCGCTCACGAAGCTCGACCACGCGTCTCACGCGTCCGAGCGCCACGCCAAGTCCGAGCTCGACTGGGGCGACGACGTCATTAGCTATTACGAGTTTGGGACGATCCGGCACGCGGCGCGCGGCTTGTCGCCGGCCAAGGCCCGCGGTGCGCGCGTGCTCTTTGGGACGCGGACGCTCTTGCCCGAGACGGCGTCCAACGAGACGCTGCCCGACCACGCGGTACCTCGTCTTCTCCACAGCCATCAAAACAATGACGCGCCTACGTCATATGTGCGTAGGGCGTCGAGGGGTTCAGTGCCACGCACCTGTTGTGGACGGCCGAAGAGCCGCTCTCGGGCCTGCGCGTGGCCCGGACGTACATGCTCGGCACGGGCCGCGTCGCCGCGCGCGTCATCGACAAGGACGCGCTCGTGCACCCGTGTTTCGAGAAGCTGGATCGATACGACGACATGCGCGACAATGGACAGGATGTCCGCTTCGTCCTGGCGCTCTACGAAGCCGTGCTGCAGGTGGCGGCGTCGTCGCATGCAACACCCTCACGGAGAGCGTAGGCGCACGCGGAAGCGATCGATGCGTTTGTAGTCGAGGCCAAGTCGCGTACGTGCTGGGTCCACCTCGGACATGGTGGCCAATGGCTGCGGTAGAGGCGGCTGTTAGCAGCAGCAGCGTGCGCGCGACCGCACTCACGGCGCTGCGCCGACTCGTGGCGCCATTGGAAGCAACGTATGATTTGCCAGCAGCATACCTCGAGACGCATTTCCAAGTCACGCTCGAGTGCTTGGATGCGTGCGGCGAGCCAGTCACTGAGACGACGGTCGCCAGTACGACCCATGTCTGTCGCTAGACGTGTTGACGGGGCTGCGTAGAGTGGAGCCAATGGTACTTGACAACGTCGCTGTCGCACGTGCCGAGTCAGTGTGCCAAGATGCAGCCGCTCGGGTCGCTCGTGGTCGGCGACACGCTCCTTCTGCAGAAGCCGACGAGGACGCATCTGGTCGTGACGCGCGGCTTTGAGTACATCAAGACGTGGACGCAAGCGGGCAAGGAAGCCGATTTCGCGAGCCACCTCGATGACGCGTTGGCGTCCGAGCACATGGTGGGTGCACGTCTCTTTCTTTTGTGGAGATTATTGTCGATTAGCTCGTCGACACGTTGCGTCTTGGCAAGGAGCTCGGCGACGCCATTCCCAAGGCGCTCCTGCTCGTGCAGTGCCCGCACTTGCCGCTCCTCCGCGGCGTGCTCAAGACATATACGAGCGTACAGTGTGACGCGCGCGGTGTCAATGTGACTCCATGCCGCGAGTAGGGGCTTGTGTTCCAGAGCGCCAATTGCAACCCGATCGTGATCTCGTTTGCCAACGACGTCGCGTCACTCCAAGTGCTCTCGACGCCGGACGACGCGCTCCTCCTCCTTCTCATCGAGTTTCGGGACCGCCAGACGAACCCTGTGCGCGCGAGCTTCCCACTCACGCTGCTCGGGTCCAGCATCGCACTGCCGCTCGTCGCCAACTCGCGCATGCAAGCGGACGTGATGCGCCTCTTGGACACGTGGAAAGCATCGCTTTTGCGACTCGACATCCCCTTCCACCGTCCCCACGGTACGACTCAAGAGACTAGAATGCACAAGTTGTCCTTTGTCATGTAGACAACAGCCGTGGGGAGAAGGACGTGCCAACGCACTTTATGCCGGGTATTCAGCGCGTCCTCGGGCTCGATGCCGATGCGGCGACAAAGCAGCGTCTCTTTCCGCACTGGTACATTTCGAAAGCGGTCGCGCAAGTCTCGAGCTGGGCCAAGCCCAAGACGACATCCAAGCTACTGATTCCCATCTCGGTCTTCCTTGGCGTCCCCGGTAGCGACGTGCATGCGCTGTCCATGGCGCTTGCCGACATCTCGGGCGCCACGAACGCGTACGTCCTTGGATCGAGCAATTTGCAGCAATAAGAACGGAGCGCGTAGGTGGCATCACGTGGTTGTGGACGTGCGGCTGGGCGACCAGCAATCCCTCGAGCGGACTGCCGTGCAACAATTGCATGCGTCGGTTGCCACGGCGGTCGGTGCGATCGCGGCGCAGTCGTCGTGGGACCTCCGTCCCCGCATCCTTCTCACCGTCATCGGTACCGTGTCAAGATGACACACACACGTCTGTGCTAAGGCGTCGTCGCAGGGTATGTGGATTGCATGACGGTGGCGGCGGCCATCAAGATGCCACCAGCGCACTGGGCGCTTCCGACCAAGCTGAGCACGCTCACGTGCTGTCTCTCGGGCGCAGCGCTTCTCCAGCCAACGACGGCCAACCCGCTCCCGAAGCTCTGGGATCAGCTCACGGCGGGCTTTGCGACGTACGTCGTGCTGAGCCACACGGCCGAGCTCTCGCGCACGGCGCTCCACCGGCTCCGCACGCGCATCGACGCGGCCAACCCGTTCGCAGACGTGTTTTGCCCCGGTCGACTGTCTTTGAAGGCGACGTCACCGCGCTCTTGGCGCTCGATGCGTTTGATGTGACCGAGCGCCAAGCGTACCGCGACCGCCATTTTCCAAACTGGATCGCGTCGCCCGAGACGTACTCGGTCGCATCGACTGCTGGCCACGCGGTGGGCTTTCGCATTGGCGCCGCCATCGACCGCGCCCGGTTCCTAGCGTGCGTGCAGGTTGTCACGTCGTGTGATCATCGACTTGATAAGTTGATACGTTTTGGTAGCACGGACTGACGCCGCACGCGACGCTCAAGTCGATCGAGCCCTCGAGTGCGCTCAAGGCGGCGCCGGCAGAGCTCACGGGTCTTCGCTTGGCGCAGGTGTCGTTCGTTCGTACTACACTGTCGTGCGCTCATGGCAGCGCCTAGTCGTTGGCCATGCACAAGGTGGCGCAGTCGTTGAAGGCGCAATCGCCGGCCATTGCCGCCGAGCAGGTCGCTGCGCTCACAGCGGATTGCGGCGCCGTGTGGTCGATCGAGGCGACACTGACATTTGCGGACGACAGCGCGCACGGGTACCAGTACCTCAACAGCGGTGTCAAGGCGACGCTCAAGCCCACGGCCGCCCCTTCCGCGGTAAGCCATGAGATCGGAGGCGCGCTACGACGTATATGTCGCTAGGCGACGTGCTCGGTTGTCTTTACAGGCGTCCAACTGAATGCGTCGGCGCTTAAGACGCTGCTGCTGGCGTGCTGCCCGACCAAGTACGAGCCCGTGCGGCCGCTTCAAAGTGGCGTGTCGCTCGTCGAGAAGCGCCAGATCCAAGCCGACCATGTGCACGACCCACTTCCGGACGGCTACGTCTTTGATGGCACGTACTATTACGACTACTTTGGCGGCCAGTACGAGTTCCACCCGGCCATCGACAGCTTTGTGCAAGCGTACGTCGCGTCCAAGAAGGACGTGGCGACACGCCAAACCAACGAGCTCGAGCAGGACCGCCGGCGCTTTGAGGAGCTCACGGAACGGATCGTATGAGCAGCGGCAATGTCAGCGCCATTAGCTGTTGTGTTATATATGTGCATCTACCATTGCCGCATCCGCGCATGTTGTGTTGATACAGATAAAAGGCGCGCCGGCTTACTCTTCGACGAGGCGCGGGCGCTCGCCGATTTCGACCTTTTCGTACGCGACGGGGCCGGCGTGGGCGTCGTGGTGGCCGTGGCCATGACCATGGTCCCACGGATGCTCCCAGCCCTACAAAGATTCGGCGCTGAGCCATGCATACGTGCAGAGATCGATGGCGTACCAAGACGACGGCGCCGTCTTCCTTGGCGCGGTAGAAGATCCAGAGCCACGTAAGCGTGCCAAAGGCCGTGCCGAGCGCCTTGTGCACCGGGTCGACGTGGAAGTGCATGCCATGCGGGTAGCTGCCGTGGCCATGGCCATGCGAGGCCATCGAGCGGGCATGGGCGGCGCGGAGGAGCGGCGACGTCACACGGTTCCACATCTTGCAGCAGACGAACAACCAGTCAATTGACACCGCAAGCCACAGTCCGTCCAAAAAGTCGAATTTTAGCCAATCCGCTGCCGCATTTATTCGGACGCCGCCGGATACGACCGGCCACAACGAAGGCCACAGCGCCGGGCCCGACCTCCTGCAGCGTCCTCGCCGGGCATACGACATGGGCGCCGTGGCCATCATGACCCGATGCTGCCGCTGGCACAAGGTGCGTGGGCGAGGATGGTACAGGAGTCGCAGATCGAAGGCCTCGCGTCAGTAGCACACTGCGTACTCTGCTCGTTGACGTCAACGGCAAGTTAGCCAGCGATGGGACCTGCTGGGGTGGAAGCAATCGCATCGCCATGGCAAGTGCCAATCTCCAGCCAGCACAGTAGCAGAAGAAGAGCCATAACACAGATTTTCTCTAAAGCTCTTTGGACATATCGGGTAACCAAGACAACGACAATGCACCTCTCGACACGGCCATGCTGTTGCGAAACTCCCACCAGACGCAAGCAGGGTACCGGAGCTCCGATTCGACCCAGCCTAACGTCAATCAACACTCGTCCAAACGTTGTTTTGATTCACTTTCTGTTTACTGTCCTATCCTACTTCGACTACAAGATTGCGTAGTCGTCTCGAATCCAAGGGCCGTCCGTGTCGATGTACGCCGGAGGCTGCGCTTCATAGTTCGGATCCAAGTACGCGCAGGGCGCTACCTCTTCATGGACCATGTCTTCGTCGTCGTCGTCATCACCATATGCCATGCGGTCTTGCTCCAGGCCGATCAAGAGCTGGACGTTGTACTCGAGTTTCGCCACTTGCTTGTCGTTGGCATGGTCCTTGGCGGCCATCGCAGCACGAGTTGCAATTCGCTTCCATCGTGCCGCAGTCAAGAGCGCGTGTATCTGGAGGTCCTTGGATTCGCAGTCGGCGTGACTCATGCCGAGCTGCTCGTTGAGGATCATCTTCTGAGAGACCAAGGTGCGGTTGGTGGCGATGGAGGCGTCGTACAGTGCTTGGAGCTGGTCGAGGGCGACGGTGGTCGCAGAGGCGTGCTGCTCGATGGCCGTGCACTGCGCTTGCAGCTGCTGTACTTGGTCGTTCTTGGATACGTCCGAGGCAGCCGTAGCGCTCTCGAGCTGCTTCTCGAGGATCTTGGCGGTCGTCACGAGCTCGGCGATCTGCTCGTCTTTGGCAGCCACGAGAATGTTGTGGTCCAGTTGCAGCGCCTTGAGGTCCGCGCCAAGACGACCGACCTCCGACTCCTGGACGGACTTGAGGTGGCAGATCATGTCAAAGTGCTGCATGGACCGGGTTTCGTAAAACTTGCGCTCGGCCGTCGCCGTCGCGAGGCTCGTCTCAAGATCGAGGATACGAGTTTGGCGGGCGTTGGACTCGGTCGTCACCGCCGCCAGTTGAGCTTCCAGCGCAGCGATGCGCGATTCCTGCTGCGTGGTGGCAGGCAATGATCGAGGCAATGGCGTTGCTGGGACTGGACGCGTCTCGGTGGCGCGCGTACAGGCGTGCGAGGTGTCGGTGCGGCGGCTTGGCGAGGCGCCCGAGCAGTTGGTGGCGCTCCTTGGGTGGTTCGCGTTGGCACGGCCGGCCGGGTGCGGGCGCGCGGCGGCACCGTGGTGCGCGTCACGGGAGTCAACGTGGCCTTGGAGGCGACGTTGGTGGAGCTGTTCCAGCGGGGCTTGGTCATCGTTGTCATTGTTGTCGTCGGGTGTCTGCAAATTGGAGAATGAGCTCGAGATGCCTTGCAGCTTTCTGCTTGTGAAGGCGCATGGATTTGCTTTTACAACTTGTTTTTACTTGTAGAAGCGAATGGAT